CAGCTTAGGAAAAGGAAAAAGAAAAGGTGCTGAAAGCTAACACTGTTACGCCATCCTATCAAAAAAAAGAAAATCCCTTAAAATTTGACAGCAGTGAGGCAGGAGAAGAGGGAGACATGGTAATATTGAGAGCCTTATGGCAAAGTTATGAAAGACACTTCACCAGTAAACTGTTGTCTAATACAAGACAGTTCTTGGATGGACAGGCAACTACAAGTAGCTGTGGTAACAAAAAGAAGATGAATTTATGTCATGTCGTTGCTTTGGAGTTTTTGTTTTCTTTTACATATTTTTAAAACCCCATCCAGATATTCATTAGGGAAGACATACATTTCCCTCATCCTGCATCAATATGTAGGAAAAAGAGATGTCATCTAGGATCAGAGAGCAAAGACTTTGACTTTGCAGGTCCACATTTTTGTATAGCTCAGTTTCAGTCAAAATGCGTTTACAGCAGTTTTTCCAGTTTAAAATTCTTAAATCTTTCTCTTTTTACACTAAAGAAAATAGTGTGTCAGCTAGAGATAGTTTAAAGTGAACTGAAGGTTTTAATTTGAATTTGTAAAAATAAGGTTTTTCAAGCAATTGTAGGTATTACAATTAAACCTTGAAGTCTAATCCAAGAGCAGGAGTGCTAGAGTTGCGTAACTACAAAAATAAACACTATGATAGACCTACTGTTACTTAAATGTGGACAAGTTGGACCAGCTGTGTAACAATCAATGCTTTTACAGTAATAAATGTTGACAGCAAAAATAAAAAGAATGCATTACTGAGACATCATCAAATGAGCCCTGTCATTACATGGAAGCTCCACCCTGTATAAGCTTGTCAAAAAGTGTTACTGTAATCCTTTGAGAAGCCTCCTCCTCAGGCAACAGAGAAAAAATGTTTAGGATAGGCCCAGAACAGGTGTGTTGCACTGTAATGCCAGTATTTAACCATGGATCTCTTCACATTAATTTCACAGTGGAACTAACTCAGATCTATTTTTGCCCATCACGCAAGCTGAAATGATTATTTAACTATTAAAGTAAGCAAACTAACAGAAGTGTTTAAAAATGGACATTCTGAGGCATACAATAGTTTAAGATCGTCATTACTTTTCTACACCCAGTACCATGCAATGACATTTAAGAGGAAAAGATGCTATGCACTCTTTTCATAGTTTATCCCTGCAAAACCTCAGTTCACACCTTGATCAACACTGGCAAGGACTGTTTTTTTCTGCTTTTGGGGCCTCTTTTGGACAAAAAGGTGACTCTACCGTCTGAACAGCAGTTGCGATATGAACATATGTAGTGTAAGCCAGAGGATCACATATGGTTAAAAAAGTAAAATATATCCAGTAGATTTATGAAATAATTAGCGTAGCCTCTATTAGTACCACGAGAAAGAGCCTGAAGCTGCTTCTGGGATAAGAAGCACATAGGACCAAATATTTCACTGGGACTTGGTGATCTCCCCTGGTGCAGGAAGATGCCAATGCAACTCTGTGTGATTAAAGCTTGACGCTGGCTTGTCATCCCCGCCTGTGGTGTATGTGAGTGTTCGTTCTTACTTTTTGTCTAATGTTACCCTCAGGAAAAATAAAAGAGGGAGAGGGAATGAAAAGAAACAGCTGTGATGTTGCTGTGTAGTAAATGCATCCATTTTTCCATCAGAATAACCCTGCTTACACAACCTGAAGCTGGACCTAGACCTGACCGCAGTGAGGATGGTGGGATCGTATCCCGGCCAATGGGCCTTGCTGCTGTTGACATTTGAAGCCCACCATTTAATTATCCATTGGCCATTTCTTTACAAAAAGCGCCACATTAACCTAACAGCAGTACATTGCTCATCATGCTTTATTATTTATAGCACGATACTGTGATAATTTAAGTAACTGAAACTTACACAGACAGCACGAGCGCTAGACAACATGTCTACAAAAGCAGATCAATAGCGTGGTCCAAAAGAGGCAGAAGGTTTCCAAAAATCTAATTTGGCCAACAAGGCTTACAAGCAGCAAGCAACAGGCCTAACGTTTCACGACTGGCCCAGAAGCCATGGAGAGAGAAAGAAAAGGAATAGGAGGGCAGATTGTCTCCCTTTAAGAAAGCTTGGGAGAGAAAGTGGATGCCTAAGTTATGCACCACTCTATCTTAAAACAGGTACGTTACTTGAGTACTATGAGTACATGTACACATTTTAATGTTCTTTAAGGTGTTTCTTTGGAGATCGATAAAAAGCTTAATCCAACACAGTAAACAAATTTAGAAGTTATATCCAAACACTAATTAAATGGTGGTATTTTAGCTCTTGACCTTAAAAAACATATGCCTCAAATTTGCCTGACTAAAATTTCATGAGGCTAAACCAGTAGATTTTACTAATACACGGATACAAAAGCACAGGTTTTACCTAGCCATACTATTACCACGAGCTAATGTAGCTACTCACTTCTCTCCGGTGAGGTAAGTCTATGACGCTGTTCTGAGCATCCTGCCGACAATATCAGTTGATGACCAGTGACAGGGAACTGATTGTAAAGCAATACCTTAATAGATACAGTCAGCGTTACTGCGAACACCTGTACCCTTAACTGGCAGTGGTAATAGTCATCCTGTACTGAAATAACCATCAGAGGGCACTGCAAAACATGCTGTGCTTAACAGAATTATTCAGCAGCTGTGTTTGAAGCTTTCATGTGCATGCAAGTTAAAAATCCAAAGTGGGGAAGTTCAGCTGCGTAAACTGACTCATTAATGATTTCATGCTGTTATTTACAAGTGTTTCCAGTTCTCTTTCTCTCTCACACACACTTCTGTTTACAACAAAGCTATATAGCTAACTTCTTTTTTTTAAAGCACAAAAGAATTTTCTGCTTATCTTCTTGTGGTTTTGTGATGACTTACTGTTGCTATTAAGAAAACAGTAACAGAAACCGGACTCTGTATCCTGCTTGCTATTGTAATATTTGGAAAAAAAATTGCACCAACTGCAATAAGATCTTTAAAAAAGTGTTGATGTTTGAACACTATACCTTGTCAGTACAAGATTTATATGAAAGTTACATGTTATGTAGCAAACCACAAAAAGACAATTTTTCTTTTTCGGGTGAAAGCCTTCTATTGAGTACAGACTGCTTGTTAAATATTCCCTTTCTGTAACAGTAATTTCATATAGTGATAGCATTCTTTTTAAACTTCCTGCTTCAAAGGCAAAAGTGTCTGAGATCACCTTTTCTATGAGATTGTAACAAGTCAAGCCAAGTTATAAGTAAACAATCTACATGTGTATAGAATACATAGCATCTCCAGAGTAAATCTGCCCCTAAGTTTATGAAATGTTTCCATTAGCTTTCTGAATGGCAAAGTATATTAGAAAATAGTCCTGCTGCTCCCAGAGACATGAAAACACAGGAAAATGTGGGGAAAGACTAGAGAAGACTTGGGCAATGGTAGATCTTAGAGGAATGTATAAAAATGAATTTTCAACTCTCCCTACATAGGCAGAGCACTTAAGAGTGAGAAGTCAGGAAAAATCCATATCACCATAATGGGGACGTGTATTACCAGTCTGCTTCACTGTTCTTGCCCTCCAGGGAAGGACCCACAGAAGCTCAGGATGCAGAAGCCAGTTCTCGTTTCTCAGAGGACCGTGCTCTAGAGGTTACCAAGTCTTCTCATTGCTAAGCTTTTTCTCCCTCGCTCCCAGATTTTTTCCTCTGTTGCTATATCCCCGTGGTTTTACCCTCTTAGAACAGGTCTATCACTGTCTCACCTGGATCTTCCCTTGTTCCTGAATACTAACCTCTGGACGACTGCTCTGGTCTCCTGTTCCCCACTCCATTCTGCTCCTATCTCTTTCTCTCTCCACTTTTACTTCTAGTTCCTTTTCCTATCCCTTACTTGTTCCTATCTCCTTGTCTCTATATGCTTTTCTTTCCTTCTATATTCTTCCTTTGTATAAGCACTTATAGTTTTCAGTCCTGAGCCTTTCTTAGAACTCTTGCTTGTGATCTGAATTTTAACTTCTTATTAAAACATTAAAAAAATCCATACTCAACATACTGCTGTTAAAATGCAATATAAAATTCAATTATATTGTGCCTTGGATTTTTCTTGTAATCCTCATATTAAAATTTGTGTTCAGTATTAACAAAATTAAAGTCAATTTCTTTACCAACGAATTATAGGTAGCATAAATGAAGAAGAAAAAAAATGAACTACAAATATTGTGCAGATACCGTGCCTTCATATTATTATAACCATAATCGGTAAATCTCCTACTAATGAGCACAAGATTTAAATGTGAAGAATGTGTTTAGTGAATTATTGTCAATCAATGTCTATACAACAGGATAACATTAATCTTGAATGGCAACACACCTATTACTATAAATTCCTAACTAAGTACTTCATTACTTCAAAATGTCACTCTCAATTTATAAAGTAACAGATAAACATCTCTTGACTGTATACCTCACTGTGTCTAGTTCCACGTAACTGAAACACTGTTTTTGAAAAGTCATGTCATCACTTACCATTTTGCATTGTTTTTAATGGTGATTCAGTACTGGTATAGTTTTGGTGTTTAAGGTTGCTTTCCAATCTCTTTTTAAATGTATACATTAAGACATATCAAACCATTTTTGTTTTCTACCTATGATTTAGAGGTGATCTTTGGAAAAATATGTGATTGTTATTTGCTAGTGTGAGTGTATTAAGCTCTATAACTCCACTGTAAATGTAAGCAGTTACTCATGACCAATATTCAGGAAAAAACAAAAAAACAAGGACTCTGAAAATGCCAGTACACCAATAAGGAGGAGCTTTTTGAGAGACCCAACTATCTACATAAAGACGACTTAAGGTTTTTATTTTTGGTGATGGAAGAGGCACAATACAGCACAGAGTACCTAACTGCACTGGCTAGAGAGAGAGCTGATTAATTTTGTATCCCCAGTCATTTGCGGAAGCCAGTAGGTATCTGCAGGAACTTTCAGCTCTCACCTCATCCTTTATGTCTTCCTGCTGTTGGGCACTGAAGATCTCCATTGCAGCCATCAGCCTCATCATTAGCTCATCCACTGTTGTGTTACCTAGCAACAAAGGAAGATAGCTGAACTTCATACCATTAAAGTTATTTAAAAAATGAAGTCATTTTAGAATTAATCCATAAGAAATAACCAGAGTTAAAAAAAACCGACAGAGCAGAAAATGCTAATATGTTAGTAGAATGCTTTTAATTTGCTGTTTTATTGAAAATTCAGTACTGTTTTTACAGGTACATGCTGATCCTAGGCTAAAATTTAAGGTGATCCAAAGATGAACAACTGCTTTTGTACTTACGTGGAATAACTCCTTCATTATTATTATTGTTGATGTTAGAGGAAAGTACGGTATCTGAAGCTCCCTGACATGAAACTGATACTACACTTTTACAACTCCTCGGTATAGCGAGGCAGACTGCCAAGTAACAGAAAGAAAGATACTGCCAGTAGCGTCCAAGTGGATTGTTTGGAAATATGGAAGAACAGAATACAATGAGCAAGTCCATCACACTTTCGGCAGTGTCTCCCCACTCTTTTGTAGGACTGAGAGATCAGTTCAATCTCCTGCCAAGGAATCAACTCAATCTGTGTTTTCTCTTCTTAGATGGAAGAGCAGACTGCCCATTAGAGCGACTTGTCTTAGCAGTTTAAAGGTAAGACTGTTTCTCCACAAGAAATAGGCTTAGGCTATAAACTCTTAACATCCGCCAACCTAAACAGTCTTTGGATGCTAGTACAATACCAACAAGACCTACATTCATATTGGTGATGCTGGTCACAGTTCAAGCCTAACCAGGAGCCACAGTGCTACTGCTACTACTAATAAAAATAATTAACAATTAAAAAAATCCCTATCTCTTCCAACTCCAGCAAAAAAAAAAAAAAAAAATCTAAACCAAACTTAGCCTACATTTTAATAAATTCCCCCAGAAGTTAAGTTTCTGTATTGTCGTATCTCTTTTGTAAATACTGCCTCCTCACCCGGCCTTGAAAGGCCCTCATTGTTCCCACGTCTAGCGTTCGCTACCCTCCTTAGCAGAAAATTTTATCCAGCATGCTACAACACGCCTAACTTCAGAGAATATTATTTGTTAAAAGATACCAATGTCCCACTTCTTGGGAAAGTAACAAGCACAGCACGTTTTGATTTTTGATAGAATTTAGGAAAGATAAATTTAGGAAAGGTAACAGTGTCTGTCGTTTAAGTTAACTTTAGTTCAAAAGGATATTTGCAGAAAAACTGACACATAATTAAAACTTAATGAGTGCTATGAAACTATTTGTTTTATTTGATAATGTAATGCAGCTTTATCTTATGACTCTAAATCACCAATTTGCTAAAACAGTTTTTTAATCCTGTAAGCACCACGGGCATCAGTGGGATAATGCAGGTGTTTAGCGTTACACGAATGCTAAACTATGCTGCAAAGTTATAACCAAGAGAAAATCTAGTTATTTAGGTTATTTCAATGGAATAAGTTGTAGAAGTGACAGAAGTACCATGAATTAGTTTTGTGCTGTCTTGCACTAAGGAGACAAAATATGTGCCACTCATTAAAAAACTTGGATTTCTATGGGAATGTACCAGCAAAAATAATTTTGGCCGTAGGAAGGAGCACTGCAGATTCCTCAAGACAATTATTAATCTCATATGAAGATGGGAAACTCACACTGCACAAAAGGCAAATGACTTCACTGTGAGAAGAATACGAAGCTGAATTTCCTTAGGAAAATAAGGAGATCAGAATAAAGATGGTTGATGGTTAGATATAAACAACAAATAAATGACAAAATTGTTGTGGAGAAAAGAAAAGAAAAGGAGAGGCCCCTATTCCTTAATGCCTTTTAATTCGAAGAATTACAGAGAACACCAGTCTAAGGACATCATTCCACACCTGAGTAACATTACTGTCAACGAAATACGAGTAAGGCTTGTGTCAGATAGAACGGCTCATGTAAGCTGGAAAGTTCCACTTCTATGACGTTATATTAGCAACTTAAAACTCTCTTCCAATTTGGAGAGATCCAGTGTTGTCCAATCTCAACACTGGTTTGTTTGTTTGTTCTGTTTTGTTTTGTTTTGCAGGCCTGCAAAAGCAAAGTTGTGTTCAAATACCAGCCCAGTACATGCAACAGGAGCCCACGTGTTAAGAAGGAGCTACACATGAAGAGCTTGCTGCATTGCACTGCACAAAAAGTGCCTTCCAAATTCTTCTGAAAAATCAGAGATTTATCTAATTATAAATTTGGAATCTAAGTGGAACTCCTTATTCAGAAAACTTGGCTTCAATTAAAAATAAATAAATAGATAAATAAATAAACCTTGAAAAATAAAAGCCTTAAACCATGAGTCTACTACAGTCATGGCAACTTGAATCTCTAACACCATGTTAAATAATACATTTACGAATAATAGCTATTTCCATCATGGCAACTGAAAGGTGGGTTTTTTGGTTTTTTTTGTTTTTAAATGTGTAATAAACTCGTATTCTGAATACCTCAAAAAAGAAAGTGTCAGCAAAGATATCTTCTAACAGTTTCAATACCCACATAAGAAATATTTACAATATAACGCAAGAACTGTACCTTGTATTACATTCAATACTTCATTAGATGATCGTTTTCCCATAATAATAAGGAAAAGCGGAAACTGATCTGTCTTCTGAGTTCGAATTGTTTGGGCTACAACGCTCCCGAAGTGTCTAGTGCACATCGTCAGAAACCTATGTAGGAAAAAAAATTAGTTTACATTGTAGAGGTTCTCTTTTTTCTTTCTTTTTTTTTTTTTTTTTTTTAAGTTAGCGTTCAAAAAAATACTTATGCTAGATTCAGCAATTTAATTATGTGCTATCTACTGTTTAATATCTGGGCTTCTGTAATCCATTCTAGAGTTATTTACTCCTTTTTATGATTAAATTATGAGAATATTTACAAATATGAGACAAATAATTCATAACTGGCAGTGACGGTGATTTAATTGATGAAGAATTCCATTTTCTCTTATGTTAGTCTGCAAACTATAACATGAAGCTAAATCCCCCCAAACTAATCATGCTAAATCCATTGTTAAAAACTTCTAAAGTGGAACTAAGTAAAGAGGTTATCTAGTAAGCATGAAAAAGTGTAGAATTAGTATCATTTCATACAAGAAGCATAATTTAACAATGAAACATCAGGAAAATGTTTTAATCATCATAGGATTAAAACATGGTACTTTAGAACTGTATTTTCTTTTGTGCTAGTGCCCTGCCAGTGACAAACGTAGCAGTGTGATCTGAAAACAATAATTCTACGCTTTTGACCAAAAAAAGCTCTCAGATCTATTAGCATACAGAAGTCTAGCATTAGTATTCTTAACACGATCTTGAATAAATGAAAAAACTGATAAAGCTTTTCTCTTCCATTAGAGGACTGTTTGAAATTAGCATTTCTTTCAAGAGAAAAGGGTAGCTTATGATATGTTTTCAGATCTGATGGTAAAAAGTAAATGTCATAATAATAATGAATTATGAAAGACCAAATGCAAATATAGAATGCTTTAATAAGATCCAATTTAATAAAGTCTGTAAAAATAATGGACTTTTAATAACACGGGTCACAAAAGGCAAAACAGTGGAAATTCTGAGGACTAGCCACTGGTACAGACTTATTAATTCTTAATTATGTTCATGAAAGGCAACTTAAATCGTGTATTTTCTTATGCCTTATGATAATATTTTAGGTAACAACTGCTCTGAAAGGTATGCTCTAACTGAAGAGCAAAGTCCTGTTGTCACACGCATTAGAAGCCAAATCTATTTGAAAAGACAAACTGCATTAAAACGTCAAGCACTCCAAATCATTTGTTCCCAAAAGATACTGAAAAGAATCAAAAATGTAATTTTTTAATCAAGATATATTTTAATGAAGAAAATGGCCAAAAGTTAAAAAGCCTGATGAATACTGCATTGGGCTTTGACTTGAAGGCACCTAAAGCATGAAAAAATCCCCTCTCAAAGCCAGCTTGTACTATAACTCTAACCGTACTCAGAAGGAAGGCAATAGCAGGAGTAGCTATAAGTATTTCAAAGCCATCAGTGTTACTGGCAAACACCTTTCCTTGCCTCCTTCATTCTCCATCTCTCACAGTTCAGAACTATCACACAGAAAGACAACGTTTAATTTCAAGTGACACAAGTGAATTAAGGGACTGATATATCAGAAATATCTGACTACAGACATACCATGCGGTTAAGACAAAATAAAGTGACAATGAAGTGTGGACATATAAGCTCTTAAGCAAAACAGGTTCTTTGATTTTTCTTTTTCAGGGTGGGAACAAGTAAACTCCTCCTGCCCCAGAGGATCCATCGAAACAGATCCTGCTCCATGGAACCAAAGAGACCCCGCATGGCCGTTCAGCGAAAACATAGTAAAGCCAATAAAAACGTGAAGGTAGCCAAACAGCGTAGCGCCGAATAAAGAGATATCGCCAACGCCTGCCAACGCCCACGCTGCACAACTCTTAGCACCACCCACGATCCACTCGCACACACGTTCACAGCCAGCTCGGAGGTACGCGAGTGTGGAGCACGTGCTTGGAACACCTCTTCCTTTCGCTTCACTAGAGAGGCGGGAAATGAATTTTCACTCATGACCCCTGTTTAGCTTTTTGCATGCCTTATAATACATTTTGCTGCTACTGAGTTAATTTTGCTTTTTTCTCCTCCTTTTCAGCCTTTACTGATTCTGTATTTGCAGGCCCTTTTACTTTCTTCCATCTTCACATCTGGCAAAAGAATCAACCAACCAACCAAACTTTCTCCATGCTAATATATATTATCTTCAGAAGTACGCGAACAGGTCCAAAACAATTTGGCGCTGTAACCAGTCTCTTATTCTACACATCACTTACAAGGGATTTTCTCATTTTCCTCTAAATAGAAGTGTGCCAGCTCTTTCCATGGCATCTCCAAAGCTGCCAAGGGAACTGCCTGTGGAGCTCATCAAAGAGCCAGATGTCACTACGGGCAGAACTGTTTTCCACAACAAGCTGGATTACTGTGATCTCCAACCAAAAGTGGAAATAGAGGAACGCTGCCAGAAAGGGAGGGAACATAGCACCCTACTAGTCCTTTTATTTCTAAAATACAGAAATATTCAAGGAGGGAGAAGTATGAGAATGGCAAAAAAATTAAATAAATTATGAAGGAAAAATCCACTAAAAAGCACTCTTGAAAATTACAAAAATAAAGTTCAAACAAGTAATAGTTTTGGCAGACAGCACAGTTTCTTTGCTTCTTTTGTGGCTTTTTAGCAATGAAAACAGCAGCTATTTGAGCTACAAAATGAACACAGCCACTGACCATGGCCAGACAAATACAAAAACAATTCCTAAAAAAAAAAATTACAAACGTATCTCAATTTTTTAAACGTAAGTAGTTTGAAAAGTTATTTTAGACACAGCACCCCTCTTATTTAAAAGCAGCACACAGTAAAACAACTACTCTGGTGAAATAAAGACATTAATTTGGGGTGTTGCTGGTAATTGCACAACACTCGTCCCTTCACATGCGCTCTGAGATAACCTTTAAAAAGAGTAACCGTCTGGCAGCGCGTTCTATCCCAGCTAGTTTCTCAGACTAGAATGGTATCAATCCATAACAGCTTATATATGACAAATGATACAAAAGTATATTTTGGCATAACATTTTCTTGCAATCTTATCATGAAGCGCAAATTATTTCGTTTCTCTTTTAAAAGGCTTCTAAATAACGCAGTTATGAAAAAATAACAACTTTCTAAAAAATGTGGCTTTTTTGATGTAAAAAAAGTTAAAAACATGACTGAGTCTCAGAAACAAAGGGAACGCTTATTGTATCTAAAGTCTACGGTCTACAACAGCTCTTGATTTTGGATAGAATTTTGTAGAGGCTTGGGTTTAGTAACAGTACCTGCTTGTGGGAATATGCAGCTTTTAATTTTTAACAATACAAGTTGCCACCACTGTTGAACTCAGAGCTCAAGATCTTGAAGTTTTTATCTATACGACACACAGCT